TTCACCAATACAGGGAATATGAAAGAAGGCACGGATTTCAGGTGTGAAGAACAATGAGTTCAATCCCAGACATGGTAACCTGACCTGACTGTGGGACATCCAGGAGGCAGCTGTTACGGGGCTAAAGCTTAGGAGAGAGTTGTGGGAGTCGGATGCTACTTGATAAGGTGGATGCTAAGGTGATGTCTGAGCAAGTTCCTAGCCAACATGAAAAAGCAGGCCCTGAGGGAAGAACATGTGAGTGAGATGTGGAAAGAAGAAAAAGCTTGGAAATTTCCTAAATCCAAGGGATGAGCAGGGGAAAAAAAGACTGAAAAGAAGAGGAAGACTCACGAACGATTCTTCTAATAAAGTACCATAAAAAGTAAAGAAAAAAACAAAAATATGAATGACATTGAGATGAGGAAAATATACCATCATCCATAGGGAACAGGCTTAGAGATAAGAAATAAAGGGCAGGAACAAAAGATACATCTCAATAAAAAGTGGCATTCCCTAGAATAGTGTTTTAAAGTTTACTATTTGAAAGAATTACCTAGAAGAACTGCATAATGAAATCTCCAAGTTTATAAGGGCCAAAGGCTCTTTTCCTTATCAAGAAGGAGAAGCCTCAGAAAATTGTTATATAGTAGGCAAGAAAATATTTTTCTTTCTTTTTTTTTTTTTTAAATGGAGTTTCGTTCTTGTTGCCTAGGCTGGAGTGCAGTGGCATGGTCTCGGCTCACTGCAACCTCCACCTCCCAGGTTCAAGTGATTCTCCTGCCTCAGCCTCCCAAGTAGCTTGGTGTAAATTACAGGTGCCCGACACCACGCCCGGCTAATATTTGTGTTTTTAGTAAAGATGGGGTTTCACCATGTTGGTCAGGCTGGTCTCAAACTCCTGACCTAAAGTGATCCACCTGCCTCGGTCTCCCAAAGTGCTGGGATTACAGACGTGAGCCACCGCAACCGGCAAGAAAATATTTTTCAAGGAAAGAAATCAGAACATAATCTGGCTTCAGCCAAAAATAATCCAGAATGCATTTTGCAAATAAATTTCTGGCCCCAAGTTTTCAGTAACTAAACCCAAAGAGCCATTTTAAATCACATCAATTTTGGGCTTAAAGAAAGTGACAGACATCCATTTAATCCAGATCATAGATACGAGAACTACTTTGGAGAGTTTGTTAAAATGCACATAAACTGAGCTATCCAAGACCTACTGAATCAAAATCTCTTGGTATGCAGTCAGGAAAAATTCTCTGCTTCTTGAAATGTCTAAAACAAGGTTACCAGATGATTCGTGTGCGCACAGTTTGAGAACTCCTAATGTATCTGCTCAGGAGACCAACGACAAGACAAAATAAATGGTTTGCACAATAGCACATATCAGAATCACCTAGAGCAGGGGTCCCCAACCTCCGAGACTCAGACTGGTACCAGTCTGTGGCCTGTTAAGAACCAAGCCTCCAAGCAGGAGGTGAGCAGTGGCTGAGCATTACTTCCTGAGCTCCACCTCCTGTTAGATAAGCAGTGGCATTAGATTCTCATAGGAGCGCAAACCTTATCGTGAAATGAACATGTGAGGGATCTAGGTTGCACGTTCCTTATGAGAATCTAACTAACGCCTGATGATCTGAGGTGGAACAGTTTCATTCTCAAGCCACCCCTCCCCATCATCCATGGAAAAATTGTCTTTCACAAAACCAGTCCCTGGTGCCAAAAGGTTGGAGACTGCTGACCTAGAGGGCTTGTTAAATACAAATTTCAGCCAGGTACAGTGGCCCACGCCTGTAATCCCAACATTTTGGGAGGCTAAGGCAGGCAGATTGCTTGAACCCAGGAGTTCAAGAAGGTGGGGCAACATGGTGAAACCCATCTCTACAAAAAATGCAAAAATTAGCCAGGCATGGTGGCAGGTGCCTGTCATCCCAGCTACTCAGGAAGCTGAGGTGGGAGGATCGATTGAGCCCGGGCAGCCAAAGCTTCAGTGAGCCAAGAATGTGCCACTGCACTCTAGTCTGGGCAACCAGAGTGAGGCACTGTCTCAAAAAAACAAAAACAAAAACCAAAAAACAAAACTCTGAGCTCCACCCTCTGAGCTTCTGATTCAGTCCAAGAATTTACATTTCCAACAAGTTCCCAGGTGAAGTTTGCACTGTTCATCTGGGGACCACACTTTGAGAACCTCTAGTCTAGACTAGAGTTATTAGACTTTTCTCTGAGTACATCAGTTCAGTGTGGCACTACATACTTAAAGACCAAGACAAGGGTATTTCAGAAAGGATGTTAAAAATGAAATGGAAAACATGACCAAACATAAATTATACATATTTATTTTAAGCCATTCTGGTCAATTAGAACAGAAAAAAAAAAAAAGCTGGAAAAGATCCAAACTATGCTAGAAAGAAATTATAAGGGTCATAGAATATGTGAAGAGACCAAAATGGATGAATTAATTAAAAAGACTAAATTTACAAAAGAGGGCAGAGATAGATTATAATCTAAAAATTGATAAAATTATGAAAAGATATGTGCAACATGAACAAATTTCAGATTTACAGCATTATGCAGGTGGTTTGATTATTTGACCCAAACAAGTCACTTTTGGGGTATCTTTTTGTGTTATTTACTAAAACAGTTTTGGGGCTAGATTTTTATTCAAAGCCACTTTTGAAAATGGTTTCCCACTGGCTCCCCACACAAAGCCAGGGAAGCCACAGAGAAACATTCCTCACTCACCATCCCAATTCTGCATGACTCAGACATTCTCGGCATTAAATTAGAAAGGACAGCCTTCTAATGCTGCCATAACTGCTATTCTTTTCTCATGTAGACGACTTTTAACCCTGAAATAGCATATTCAAATATACAATTCTCTCAACAGCTCAGAATATCTGTAATTCCCTCTATCCACCTGCTATTTGTCTCACTGTTCTGAGAACACATCCAAATTTCATATCAGATGAATTCTACTGACAGCCTCTCCTCAGGACTATCATAAACATTTTGCATCATACTGTCTTCAAGCTTCCAGAGTCCATCTTCAAACACATCTTCCACTTGGGTGGTTCTTGTTATGCTACCTTTAGTATCCAGCATCATTTCCTCGGAAGAAATCAATACACCCAACTGTTAGATCCTTTCATTATCCAAGTCAGTCCTACAACCACCTAAGCTACTCCCTCTACCTTCTTAATATCCTTGCCAGGTCTTCCCGTTTACATATATTTGCTTTTGTACTCTTCACATCCCACTCCCAAAGTCTCCTGCACAACTCAAAATAACCTCACATCTAAGGCAACAATATTTGGTTTCTGGCCTTTTCCAAACCAGTATAAATATCATTCTATCACTCATGCTGCTTTCTAGAAGAGGCAAGAACATGTTCCAAACAACTTCTGCTGTACAGACAGGTGAATGGTTATAAATTATTCCCAGGATTCATGAGTGGCTAATTTTTTATCATAAGAATGTTGATTCTGCTTAGGACCTTGAAATTAAAGCTCCCTTAAACATCAGAGGATCTCTCATTGGTTGGAGTTAACTGGGAAAAAGCCCTGTAACAGGGGATACACACACACATTCCGACCTTAAGACCAAAACTCAGAGTTCGTCAGAGTCAAATCCCAAATTTAAAAAGTCATTACCCAATGAATGACTAACATAAAACTTAAACATAGGCTCAATGCCTATTAACAATTATTAAATCTTAGTCTAAAATAAGCTCCAAATTTATGCAATACCACTTTGTTCCTGAAATATCTTAATTAGAAACAGAACTTCATGAGAATTCCTACACGGACATAAAATAGCTATTTATGATTATCAGCTTTTCTTTTCCTTATCTTAAACTGTCTCTAAAATGATAGACTTGGAAGAGTAGGGGGAAGGGAAGGTTAGGGAGAGATTTCTTAAAGGACACAAAACTACAGCTACATAGTTAACTAGTCATTCTACCATGGTATAGAACAGGATAACTTATTCCTCTTATCTAGCTCTAATATTGGATCTGTTAACAAATCTTTCCCTAAGCCTCCCTTCCCCACACTCTTCCCAGAAAAGCACACAATCATAAATAGCTGTTTTGTGTCTACACAATAACTTGCACAAAATTTTTTAAAATACAATGATCCTAGGTAGAGGTCTGATTTTACTGGACCAGAATGTCAATCTCTGTTGACATTCACTTGTAATATGCAGATTCCCAAGTCCTGCCCCTACCATTCTGATTCTGATTTTGACACACTAGTTTCAGGCCTACTAATATGAAATTTTTAATGTGTATTTTAAACAAGTACTCTAGTAACACTTTGGGAAATATTGCAAAACACCCCCCCACCCCCACAAGAAGATCATTTGTAAGAGGCAAATTATAAAGCCTTAGGGGTATATCTAGTAAGGAAGTTTCTGATTAACATAGGTACTCTTCTACGATACTAACAGATTGACTTACTGATTTTAATAAGAAAGAATATCAACATTTATATAGTCAAATAAATCGTATATGCCTCTGTAAATTATGAAGCCTGATCAATTATTTTAACAATACTACCATTACTTGAAACTCAGAGTCACTTCTTAGAATTTATTTTCAATACAGTGTATGAGTCTTCAAATTACAAATTACAAAAAGGAAAATTGGTTTCCTTATGTTATTGCTCCTTCTTGGTTTTGATCAAAATTAGAGAACCCCAGGTATGATCATCACCCAAGCTCTAAATGAGTTTAGACTATTTTCTAAGTATATCCTTACAAGGTTGACATCTGCCACTAGAGAAAACAAGATGCTTAGAAGAATGCTACCAGAGGGTCAAGATGCAGTTCTTAAGAAAAGATTTTTTTAATGCTTTGCATAGAGGATAGAGTATAGCCTCTCCCTAAGACATTTTAAACAAGACAATGTTCACTTGGATGTGTAAGTTCAAGTAGACTTGCTTTAAAAAAAAAAAAAAAAAGTATAACATATTACTGAGCACTACTGAACACATGTCAATAATAATGAGAAAAGAAGACATTACCTGCGGCTGCTGTCTTCAATAACCTACTGCTGGGTTGTATTTGCTCACTTCACTCTTCAGAGGAGTGGAAAGATTTCTCTAACATTTAGCTCTGCTGGAAACCCCTAGAAGAAGACTTTAAAAATCTGTGAAGAGGAATAAAAATAATAATTAATAAACTGCAAAATCCAATCTGAGTATCTCTACTTTTTCTCTGCTCCCGTTTACCACTACATGTTGTACACTGAGTGGGTTCTCCCAGTGTGCATTTGTCTTCACCATAAAAAAATAAATAAATAAGCAAAAAGCAAATCTTTATTTAGAAATCTGAATGCTAGCCAAAAATGAGAAACTCCTGCTGGGTAACAGAAAATAGAAAAGGATTCTTCCATCTTATAAGATATGTCAAACAATTATGTGCTTCTTTTAGGAGTGAAAAAAAGTGTGAAAGTAAATCCACATCCATGGGTCAACAGCATCATATTAAGATAATAATGATAGCATAATATAAAATAGCAAAGAAAGGAGCACAAAAAACTTTTTATAAACAATTTCAAAAAATGTACAATATTCCCAAATATTTCCGAGTAACTCTGACCTCTCTAGATACTGACAATTCAAAGTTCAGGTTTTTGCCACCCAATGGGCAAAGTCTACTTTGGTCTTAGACACACATCTCCTATCATCAGGTCTAACTGGCAAGATCAGATGTGTCACTTAATGCCTATCTTACAACCAGAAAAACATGAGCTTGAAGAGAAGTAAGCTGGGAAATTATCCTACCTGGGAGAAACACAGAACAAAACCTAGAGGTGTCCAAGAGAGCAATAAGAACATCTAGAGAGTCTAACCCTTAGCAGTTAGCCAGAAGCTAACATAAATACTAAACAAAACCACAAAGCCACTATTCGACATCACAATAAGTGGAAGCCAGAGAAAATGTCCAAGAGAGTACATTTTTTAAGGAAATCATAAATACTATACTTAAATTTAAAACACAGAAACAGGCTGCTATGCCTATGGAGTAGCCATTCTTTTATTCCTTTACTTTCCTAATAAACTTGCCTTCACTTTACTGTATGGATTTGCCCCCAGTTTTTTCTTGCGTAGGTGCAAGAAGCCTCTCTTAGGGTTTTAAAGAAATAAAAAATAAACATGGAAACGATTTAAATGCCAATAACTGAGGAAGTCAGTTTGTCACAAACTGTACATTTGCCACAACCACATAATTTACTTAATCACAATTCTGTCGGCCATTAAAAACTTTTTATTCCATAATATGTATATATAAATATACTTCAAAACATCAAGCTGTACATAATACATACAATTTTAGGTCAATTTTTTAAAGTAATTTTTAAATAAAAAAGAAATATGTTATGAGTTATAATAAAATGGGAAAATGTAGTTTATAATACAAAGTGGAAAGGAAAAGCAGAGTACAATGTTGTAATTACATATGATCACAACTACTTATGCAAAAGAAAAAAATAAGATGCAATCTCTTCTGATATACTTACAAATAATAGGTAAAATAGTTCCTATCTTTAGATGGGTTGAGGGGAGCAATTAAAGTCAGAGTCCTGTACAACAAATATGTCTTTTTGAAATCTCTATACAGCCATGATTTCTCAAGCCCCAAAGGGTAAGCCACTCATTCACATAATTTTTCTGCAATAGTCCAATATAATAAAAGATGGCCCTAGAAGTCTTTACAAAAGGTGTTGTGTATGTGTGTTTAACCTATGTGTGTATGTGTGTCAAAGGCTTAGAATGTACCTTTTCTTATAACAAATATTTTGTGAAAGAAAAAAATGGGGGTAGGGGGACACAATGTGACCTAAATCTTCAAAACTAGACACAGGAGTAACAGTGGCCAGGCATGAGAAGAGTGGAGTATGAAAAGTAAAGGATAACGTTCTGCATGCAAAAAACAAATTCTTCATTCAAATTTCCTCAATACCCTCAAATCAGCCTTCTTCGCTGTAATCAATTAATCATTTATTAACCACCTGGGAACTACTAGTATCACCTCATAACAAAATCTCAGGCCATTTAATCGCAAGGGGTTTTACAAGTAACAGAATTCTGCTTTTTCCATACCCCACATGAACAGTTTTATCATCACGTGCTGGAGAGATACAGGCTCTTTTACCTCCTCTTAAGAATTACAGATTGCTGCCAGATGCTCTTCAGGTGATTTCAAGGCTTTTTCATCTTGCAACTTGTGAATTATGAAAGGGCATCCCTAATTCATGAGAAATACTTCTCCCATCTCAGTGTCCATTATCATATATCCTCCCCTTACACTCTACAATTTTAGGCACTCGCACACATATGCTTTTACTTAGGTAATAAGGCATTGCTGGGTATCAGTTAAGGGCTTTACTAAGAACCACTCTTATATTTTACCATCATGATTCCGCCAGCAGCAACGCTTCGTGACTTCAAAGGAAGCCAAGTCCTTTGACAGTAATGCACAGAATGACATCGAAAGCAAGGTTAAGTGGAACTCAAGTAAATTGAAAGAACTCTCTTAAAATTCACGGTTCTTGATAATTCTCTTGGTTGTCATCTCATTTAAAAACAAAATATGTCTCCTGCTAAAAAGGGGGGAAGTTGGCAGTTAACAATTCAGTCATACTCAAATCTCTCCCCAGGCAAATGCTTTCCTTCTAACAAAACATTCTACCTCCACATAATAAAATCAAATTCAGGCTCACAGTCCTTCTGTGTAATAGCTATATCACATCCCTAATTTCAACAGAGGAACAAAATTTAAAGCTCATTTCCAGATGGCATAAATTCAGTGAATTTAGACCTCTACTATGTCAAGTTCAGAAATATGCTAATAGGCAGAGAGTACACAAAAGCACAGCAAAACCACCAAATGAACACTTTGTTGGGGTGGTGAGAAAGAATTAATATCCACATCATGGATTTCTCCATACACTAGAGAAACAAATGGGGGTGGGGTGCACATTTATACAGGAGGTGTGGATTATCCATAGCATTGTATTAATTGATCTGTAATATAATCAAACGCTTTCCTGGAGGATAATTAACCAACCAACCAATGAAGAGAGAAGTTTCAAACAATTCAACAAGCTTTCAAATACATGAAGCTGACTATGAGCTACTTATTGAATAATTTCATTCTCAAAAAAGATTGAACTGGGACAGGTAATACATTACATTCACATGTGGAAACTCCCATAGTAGAACAAAATATTCTACACAGTTCTACAAACTTCACTGATTCCATTAAGCACGCTAATAATAACTTAAAGTCTTAAAATGAATGAACCCATACTGATCACTTAAATGCAATCCCTGAGTTTTACAGAGGATAAAACTGAAGCACAGAGATGATGAGTGACCTGTTCAAAATTAAGTTGCGGTAAAAGATGAAGACAGAGGTAGAAGCCATGTCTTCTAAGCCTCACAGTAATACTGTCTTCTCCACATTAAGCTCACAATTCCTCAACAATGTATCCATTAAGTTGATTTCATTCCTCCTCTCAACAGTAAACCTTCTAAAGCTTTAGGAAAAGTTGAACCAAATGAAGCTTCAATCTTCAATTTCCATTGAATCAATCCCTAAGATTTCACATTAATTACATACAATAATTCATTTTTTACCCAAGAAACTCAGTGTAATTTGGGTGACTTTGGGAGGGTCTCAATTACAAAACAAATTCATGAATTGGTGCACACCACGAGGGAAGGAAAAAAAGCAGGCAGAGACCACAAGTATCTTAGAAATACACCAAGAATACTGACTTATTAAAATGAATAATGAAGGTGAATGAAACCAAATTCTAGTATTAAAGCGATGTTTCCCGATGTGACAACTACTCATAAGGTGGTTTTTTTAAGTAGTCATTGTTTAAGGTTCTGTAGTTAAATAAATTTGGGAAAATGCCACATTCTAAATGTTCTTCTTGAATATTTACAAAGCACAGTATGTGTATTAAGGCTCTAAGAAGGCCTTGTAGAAAATAAGTTTGCTTAGTTTTGTTCAGCCCAATATTATTTGACATCTTTGGTTTGCAGAGCTAGTATTGACAACCTCCAAGAAATATACTTCAGGAAGTATATACAGCATTCCTGGTGAAAAACCCAAGTCTGACACTCATTAAGCAGTATTTACAATGAGATGACCTCCCTCTTCCAGACTCAGCTGTTAAAAATCAACTTGTGAGGCAAAGGAACTTTGTTTTTACAATGAAAATCGCCACCACCACTAGCATGTAATAAGTGCTAAGAGCAAGGCATGTGCTACGTGCAGATTTTTTTTGAAATGAGGCTAGGCATGTCTTCAGCCACCAAGTTAGCTTTCCCAGAAATTGCACCTTTTCATAGATAAACAGAACATCTTGTATAAACCATTTTTACACAAATAAACATATTACACTATTTTATACATTGGCAATGTTTCCAAATTGGTACATAAAGAGAATTAACTGGTGTGAATTTTCATGACCGCGCATTTTCAAGTGTACAGCAGTAACATAATGTATTGATTCAGTATCCCATTATGAGCATTAGGGTGTTCCCAACCTTTAGCCATTATAAACACTACTACAATGAGTACCTTTGTACATAAATAATTTTCTCATGCATGTAATAAGTATATACAGTATATGCAGAATACATTCATAGTTTGTATGAATGTTTGTATGTCTAGGACTGTGTTTTTATATCTAGGATAATTTTCTAAAATTGAAATTCCTGGACAAAGCAATATGAAATTTTTCATATTATAGATTTTGCCAATTGCCCACTAAATAGACTAATGTTTTGCACCTATACACTCTACAGAACAGGTTATAAGACTGTAATCTTTGTCCATCTAACAGTGATAAATGGTACCGCGGTGTAGTTGTAATGTGCATATCTGTGATAATGGGTGAAGTTAAGCATCTTTCCATATATTTAAAAGCCACTGTTATTTCCCTTCCTTTAGACTATTTGTATCCTTAGTCTACTTTTCTTCTGGGTTGTTGGACTTTTTCTTATGGATTTTTAGGAGCTTTTTATTAAGAAAATTAGTCCCTTCAAAATTTGAGAAGCAAATATTTTCCCCAATTTTCTTGTTCCTTGAAGTATGCAGAAGCTATTCAGGTTTTTTAAAAAATGTAAT